AATTTTTTGTGAAAAAGTTGTCATTTTAAATCCCCCCTTGTGGGCAGGTTAAGGGTTAAATTTATGAAAAAAATATACCAAATGAAAGGTAATGATATTATGCATCTATATAAAAAAGAATTATATTGATATGTTTATTTTTGAAAAAGTTATGGCACTTTTAAGTAAAAAAAATTGAAAAAATCAAAAAAATTAGCGATTTTTAAATTCGTAATTTTTTTGGAGGTTTCCCCCATTTACGAGGAACGAGGGAATTTTTTTCAATTTTTAAGGGTAATGTCTTCGACTAGATACGATTTGTGATCTTTTGACGTATCGTTGAAAGAAATCCGTTCGGTGAGAGCTGAGAAAAAGTGGTAACAGACACAAAAAAAAAAAAAAAAAACACATCTTAGTAAAACCAATACCTTCTCAGCTTCGCATCGAAGCTAAAAAAGACGTATTAATAATGGAGTAGAGTAGTTGAAGTTAAGAAAATAAATAGTAGTAAGACATTGAATGATGAAAAAAAAAGAAGAGAGGTGAAATAGATTTATATGAAATTTACAATTTAGAAATAAAGAAAGAACAGCTAGCTGAGTTAGCTGATGCAGAACTTCCAGTAAATGTTTTTTCAAATATTCATTAGCTTTTTATAAGTCATTATTTTCCTCAAGAATCATTGAGATATTTATATTTTTGTGAAGATTATTTGGTCTAAATAAACTCGATGTTAACCTGGAATTTATGTTTTCATCTTGATTTTTTTAAACTTATTGTTGCCCTTTTTTTTAAATTTGTTAGTAAATTTTCCCTGACAAGGTTAATAAAACTAAAATTTTGATGAGATTCTCATTTAAAAACTTACAATGATTAGTATAATGTAATGTGTAAATGTAAATGTAAATGTAAATGTGTATTAGTATTATATAATGTTATCCTAATGGCAGTGTGTCAAGCCAACATAAATTTGAATGATTATTGAAATATAATATAGATATTCTTAACGCTAAAACTTTAACATTGAATTATAGAAAAAAGATCAATACGAAATTATGAAAATTCTGGAATTACTATTTCATGTTTTGATCTTTCATGTTAGACTTTTTGTTCTGCAATTTTGTATCATAAATTCGGTCAGCAAATATATTTTAAAAAACTATTTTCATAAATTTGAATTATAGGTCTACACTTATAATAACAGTTTTGTTTATTGTAAATATCATTAATATAAATAATAATCTATTTGTAATAATATTTATAATCTTAGACCATTAAAATATATATTATTAACAGGGCTTATACGGAGAACCCGGTACTTCTGGGTTAGACGGTTCGCCTGGTGAACACGGTCAACCAGGTCAAAAAGGAGAACCAACTGACAACTTAAACTACGTTAGTTTGATTGGAGATCCAGGGTAAGTAATCATTTAATAGGTGTTTAATAAAATTGAATAATTTTTTTTTTTATAATTTTGTACACAGATATCCAGGCACACCCGGAAAGAAAGGAGACAGAGGAGAGTCAGGAATAAAAGGTGTGTCAGGAGATTCCCCTCCAGCATTGCAAGAAATAAAAGGGGAAAAAGGTATTAAAGGAATACGCGGTGACAAAGGTAATAATTTTTCTTTGATTTTATTATGATAGGTTTTTTGTTTAAAAGAAAAATAAAGTTTTTTAATTTTATGTTCTAAATTTTCTAGGTTTCATAGGTCTTAAAGGACAAATGGGTTCATCGGGTGATCAAGGTATTTTTCACCAATTTTAAGCATAATAATATAAATATTAGAGTTTGTCAATGATATTGTTATTTCAATTCGATATCAATATTGCCGACTTTTTTCATTTTCATATAAATTATTTTTAAATATCGTAATAATCAAAAAAAAATTTTTTAATAAAAAAAAGCTGTTAGAATTTCAGTGACTTTGTTATAAAGTATACATACAGGCAATTAGTCATAGTTTTTATATTAAATATAGAATTGAGATAAGATGAAAAATTATATTTATTGATAAAAAATTCTATTCTTATATTAAGTTTTTTATCATGATATTGCTGTTATTTCTATTTTTAACAAAACACGAACAAAATAATGCATGAGTAGAATTAGAGAAAGAAATTTTAAAATTAGAAGATATACAGCAACAACTAGTTAAAACTCAATGTGAAAAATAAAATGAAATTATTAAGCCAAAAAAAAAAAAAAAATTCCTATTAGATGAAGTAATAAAAGTAATGATGTTTTATTCTGTAAAAGTTTATATTTTATTTTTTAAAAGAAGAAAATTTATTTTCAGTTATGACAAAACAATAAAAAAATATAAACAACATTTATAATCTTTTTTATTATTATTATTTAAAAATCAAAACACTGAAACTATAATACTATTATTCAATAAAGAACAATTTCATCCATTTAATATAAACAATATACAGGGTGTTCAGTAAGTCAGGAAAAGGGTTTCTATTGTTCTTATTGTTTATAACAATTGACCTGTTTCCTTACTTACGGAATATCAGTATAATAATAAAGTCTTGTAACAAAAAAAAAAAAACATATTTCTTCATAATAGAATGTAATTTGAATATATTTGATTATCATTATGAGATATAGCTATTATCTATATATTTTTTTTATATTAATATGGTTATCGGATTTGGTGGGTATACCATAATCGTATTTTTACAACTATATTAACTTAACAGTATTCTAGAAAACAAAAAAAATGGTGAAAACATTTAAATATCAAATTTAATTTTTAAAAAATAATTTTTTTTTTTCAATATCGATTTATTTTTTCATACTATATTGTAACAATTTTTTTTCCAATATTTTATTGCTGAAATTCAGTACAATATCAATATCTAAAAATATATTGTTGAAAAACCCTAATAAATATTATTATATTAAATGTTTTCTTATTAATTGTATTTTTTCTTAATTTACAGGTGATATTGGTCTTCCTGGATCAGCTGGCTTGCAAGGAATTGAAATAGAAGGGCCTCAAGGCTTAAAAGGTAGGTGGTTTTAATAATTTTTATAGGAAAATAAATTAAATTTTATGTCTTTTAAAGGCTATCCAGGAACAATTGGAGATCAAGGCTTAAAGGGAGAAAGAGGACTGTCGGGAACACCTGGTTTACCTGGAGAACCAGTAAGTGTTATAAGTCAACTTAGAATATTTTGATATTATATACTATTAAATTATTTTTAATATATTAATACTATTAAATAGGCTATGCCGGGCCAAAAAGGAGATCGTGGTGACCCTGGACAAAGTATTTTGTATGGAGAACGTGGTGACTGGGGTACTAAAGGTGTAAAAGGAGAACCAGGTGCTGAAGGGTAAAAAAAAATGTTTATATAAAATTATGCATTATTTTGTTGTTAGCATTATTATTGAGTAAATTATTTCCTTAAATTAAGATAAAAGTTAAAATATTTATTTAATTATAGTACTCTTGGAGCTAAAGGATATCCTGGTTTTGGTGGAGTAGATGGTCTTAAAGGTCAAAAAGGTAGCCCAGGAATAACTGGGGCTGCTGGTAAAGCTGTAAGTAATTTGTCATATTATAATATTCGATCATTTATGTCATAATATTTTCTTATTTAAAAATATCAGGGAACAAAAGGAGAACAAGGTATTAGTATTCGAGGACGACTTGGCTTCCCAGGAATACCTGGAGCTCCTGGTTTACCTGGTGCCTTTGGAAATCCAGGATCAAGAGGTATAAAGATAAACAAGAATATTTATAATAAAATGATTATCTTATATTATAGTTAAATCTTATATTAATATAACATATAATGTTGATTTATATTTAGGAGTTGACGGAGAACTTGGCGATGAAGGAATCAAAGGTGTTAGAGGTGATTGGGGAGCAACTGGTAAGTTAAATAATTATGATTGTTAATATTTTGTAAGATAATTAAAAATTATTGACTAATAATCTATTAAGGACCTAGAGGAATTGATGGTGATTTGGGACCACCTGGAATATCTGGGAGACCAGGAGTTATAGGCAAAATAGGTACATATATTATTTGTATTTATTTTAAATAAAGATTAATTGTTTATAATATAATATTCAAATAAAAATATTAAAGTTTAACTTCCTAATAATTACCAGGTGATTTGGGTTTATCCGGCGATGTTGGTGAGACTGGTTTAGAAGGTAACCCACATTGAAGCATAATACTAAACTATTTATTTTTTATCAGCCGAGATATATTGATCCCATTAATAATACAATTTTCAGGTGCTAAAGGTGTGGTAGGAAGACCTGGAATCATCGGATTAACTGGCGAAAAAGGATGTACGTTTTTCTAGTAGATTATGTTTGTCAAACAAAGTATAAAATTTTCATGAATATTTATATAAAATATTTTTTTTATTTAAATAGTCCGAGGAGATTATGGTTTGGAAGGCGCTCGTGGTTTGGAAGGAGAGATTGGAGAAAAAGTAAATCCGTTTTTGTTTTAATAATTTATTTGTTTTTAATAATTTAACTTTTTTATTTAGTAGTTAAAATTGATTCCTACTTATTAATTAATAGGCTTTTTATCAATAGGGTGTTATAGGAGATCGAGGTCTACCAGGTCTTGTTGGTATTCCAGGAGATTATTCATTTAGTGGACCAAAAGGCGATATTGGTGAACCTGGTAAGCCAAGAATGTTTAAAATTTTTAATATATTTATTCTAATTTATTATGTAATGATTTTAGGAAGAAATGGCGAAATTGGTCCTACTGGTATAGATGGTTATGATGGTGCTAAAGGTATACGAGGAGACAATGGTACAATTACATATGGAGATACGGGTGAAAAAGGTGTCACTAGATTTTATATTTTATTCTTTATAATATTTTTTTTTTTTTACAGTATTTATTTATTATTAACATTATGAGAAATAGCCCAAAAAATACAATATGTATTGAACAGCTAATTAATCTACTTAAAATAAATATATAAATATATAAAATTTAAAATATGAATATAATATAACAAAATTAAACTTACAAGTCACGGTGATGGGGTCACCGATTTTCATAAAATGTATATAGATCTAATCTATATTGAATACAGAATCAGACGTATTTGAAATTTTTTGCCAATGCCACCTCTAAGTCGAGAAAATTGACTTTGAAAATTTTTAATTAGCTTAAATGGGGTCATTTTTCTTCCGGTTAACAAGCAGCAAAGCACAAAAATTTAAGCTTGACTCTTTCGAGCATCATAGAGTTTGTAGCTGTGTGAGGATCCCATAACAACAAACCAAATTCAAGGATTGGTTGAACAAGATTTCTCAATTCTGAATTAAACCATGAGGGAAATTTAAAGGAATGAAATTTATGTTGAGGCACATACTGCAATATTGAAGAGTGATCTGCATCCATGAAGCTATTTACTGCTTGATTCACATTTAAAGAGGAAAAAGTTGAATTCCAATTTTACGAGTTTAGAAATTATAAAATACTAGAATAATTAGCAAAATTAAAGTTAAAAAAAGTTGTTTGTAAAGAGAATTTAGTAATTAAAAAAGATTTAATTTAAGTAATTCAAAAAGAAAGATAGAGAGCAGGGTGATAGGAATCAATAGTATCACAAGGCCCAAGAGCTAGGCAACAGTTAGCCTTATTAGCAATATTAGGAGTGTTACTAAACATTTAATCTAAAAAGGAGCTTTGAGTAAAAAAATACAGTTGTGCTCATGAAAACCACAAAAAACAAATATTTCAGAAATACAGGATTTTTTTAGTTTATTATATACATTTTTTTATTCATCAACTATTAGTTATTTGTTAGCATCATATTTGTTTAGCATATAATATAGTTAATAATCTAATTTAAAAAAAATGACAAATATATATCAACTTTTGGACCAGTTCTTCAGAATTTATAATGGTTATAATATTAAACTAGAGTGAGACACGGTTTGTGTCATTAGAAATTTTAATTTTAATAAAGTTGACACTTTTATTGTTTCTAATGGATGATGTTTATAATGATTTAATAATTCAAAAATCTTAAAATGTATATAACTAAAAAACCAAAACATATTTTATATTTACATATTTTATCAATATTGTATTTATTCTGCGAGTATTGTAAATTTATTGTTATCAGTTCTACTACTAACTATTGCAATTAAATTTATGTAGGTTCTAAAGGAGAACCTGGAATCGACGGAAATCCTGGCTATCCTGGGCGTCCTGTAAGTTTTTTGTGTAATATTTATATCAAGTTATAAAATTATAACAGTAATACTTAAATTTACTTAGTGCATTTTTTGATAATAATAAAAAAAAGTATTCTTTGTTTTGAACTTAATTGTTTAAAATTTTATAATTTATTAAAAAATCATGAATTTTCTTTTAAGGGTTTAATTGGCGATCTAGGATATGCTGGAATAAAGGGTAAGTAATACCTGTAATATTATTCACTATTCAATTTATCAATTTTTAGTTCATTTCATATTATTGTTTTTTAATGGTCACACAATTGTATTAAATTATTATTTATTAAATTAATTGATAATTATTTTACAATAAAATAAATATATATGTATAAGTAGGATAATTTTGAAGATTCATATCTCTCTTTCACCATCACGTCTAAACTTAGATGTAGAGAGAAGGGGAAAAAGTAATACCTATCGTAAACTAACAACTTTTCTCACATTTTTTCATTTCATTATTGATTGAAAATCAGTTGTATAAATCAACACGCTAACTTTTGAATCCATATGTAAAAGCTTACTACATTAATTAGCACCTTAACTAATGTTAAAGTTTTGATATTATTAAACAACACATTAGGTACAGGATTTTAATTTTATACATTTAAGATAACAAATAGTTTAGATTGTGTGTTCACATTTGTTAACATCATAAGAGATGATGGAGTGAGTAGGAAAGAGATGTAGAGGCCGCTGAACTATCAAAATTGTCCAATTTATATAGTAATTTATTGGTGGGTTAAATAATTTGATATTGTTTTGTTTTTTACTCAATATTTAAAAAGATGATTATAATAATATGTGTTATAAAAATAAACCATTATAGGTATCATTGGAGACGAAGGTCCTAAAGGTTTTCCAGGACTAAAAGGACGATCAGGAATTATCGGTAAAATATTTCTAATATATTTTTTTTTTTTTTAATTATAGAAAATGAATGAAAACTATTTTTAATTTATGATAGGCTTACCGGGAGTCTCTGGTCCTCCAGGACTTTCTGGTGTTAAAGGTATTAAAGGTGATCGTGGTTGGGATGGTATTCCTGGGGATATTGCAAAACCAGGTAAATTAAACTTATTAAAAAAAATAATTAATTATATTCAATTAAAATAATCTACTATTGTTTGTTTTGAGGTCTTCCTGGAGATACAGGATATGGAGGAGATGTTGGTCCTCGGGGACCAAAAGGACCAAAAGGTAATATTTATAAGTTAAATGACATCCCATAAAGTACCTATTTTAATCATATTAAATAAATATAATTATTTTTAAAAATAAATTAAATTTTAGGATTATCTGGTGATCCTGGCTATGAAGGATATTTAGTTGGAACAAAAGGAGAAAGAGGAGAAAAAGGTAATTGTTAAAATCATAACATTGTTTATTAAATGTTAATTAATAGTTTATGTGAAATCATTAAGGTTACACACCCCTAACTGGTGAACTAGGGCCACGAGGAGCACCAGGTTTCAAAGGACCTAAGGGAACTAAAGTAAAAAATTCTATTTAATGGTTTATATCAGATAACATTTTCAATAAAAAAATCTATTAAAATTAGAATATAAAATTTAACTTTTTATATAATTAATTTATACAGTTTTAAATTTTCATTTATGTAATATTAAACGACTTTTAATTATTTTATCTTAAATTATAATAAATTATAAACATGTAATAATATCTTACTTTTTACACATTTTTTTTATTTGAAGATTTATCTAAAGTATGTTATTTAGGGAGCAATGGGTGACTTTGGTTCTATTGGACAAGTAGGATATCCTGGAAATCCTGGACCAAAAGGAGAAATCGGAGATGTAGGTTTACCTGGGTTGCAAGGTATTATTTTATATATGTTATTTATATAAAATTTTAATAATATTTTCTTTATTAATTGTTATGTTAAAATATTTAAATGTAATATATTACAACAAATAATATAATTAATTTTTTAGGTTTACCTGGTATAAATTCTGAACCAGGGGACATGGGAAGGCCAGGATTTGATGGTGAACCAGGACGGTCAGTATCTTTCAAAATTTGAATGTCATATTCAATTTTGTGTTTTTTTTTCTATTTATTTTAGCTTTGATGCGAAGCTGAGAAGGTATTAATTTTATTATGATGTGTTTTTTTTTTTGTGTCACTACTTTTTCTCAGCTCTTTCTGGACCGATTTTTCTCAACAATACGTCAAAAGATCACAAATCATATGTAGTTGAATACATTACCCTCAAAAATTGAAAATTTTGCCCTCGTACCTCGTAAATAGTGAAAATCCCACAAAAAATTACGATTTTTAGTATTGGTAAATTTCGACATTTTAAAATTTTTTTTTCTAAAAATTGCCATAACTTTTTAAAAAATTAACAATTTAAAGTAACTTATTTTTAAATTGAAACCTTAGACATTCCCCTTTCATTTGATATAATTTTTTTGAAAATGTGACATTTTATTTGCCCACTGGGAAGATTTAAAATAAAACTTTTGCACAAAAATTAAACTTTTTAACTTCAGTTTTGAAAATGTTCCAGAAATACTCCAAGTTTAAACATATGTTAAAATAAACCTAATGTTATGCTAATAAGCTAATGGGTACACTGACTTTCATGAATATTCTATAAAAGTAATTGACATAGAATATATTGTTACACTTATTTCAATTTTTTTTTTTCTTTAAAGTCGAAAAAATTAATTTTAACATTTGAATCTACTTAAATTGCCAATTTTATCAAAAGTTGAATGCGATGAACGTTTGCCGATTCAGTAAAAGTTATTGCTCGTGGCAACAATTTTTTTGCAATTGTTCCATATTTCTTTTTGACTTAGAATTTTGCTTTTCAATAATTCACCAATTTCTTAAAATTATACAATATCTACAGATTTGCATTGAAGTGTTTCTTATGATAGTGATTTAAATCACTGTCAGATATTATCTATACTAGTTCCAACTATGTCACACTCACACTGTGCCGCGACCTCACTGTGCTACTGTTTTTAAAATAATTTTTTTTTATAATTAAGTTATTCTTATAATAATATAAGGATTTCCAACTTTTTTTTGAGATATTAAAGTAATTTCTCCAAGTTTGTATATTATAAAATAGTTGAGGTTTTAAAAAAATAAAATATATCAATAAATGAGAATATTATTTCATTATTAGTTTAAAAAGATAAAGGTACTCAAGAAGTTTGTTTTAAAATATATTTGTAAGTTTTCATTACAGTATAAATTAAACGTAATAACTGAATTTAAATACTCATTAAATATTTATAAAAATTTCTTAATATTTACTATTTAATAGTTTATATTTATTTTGTTAATTAGACCAGGAATTGATGGTCAAAAAGGAGCTCCAGGAGAATATGGAGATGATGGAGTGAGTATATAAATAAATTTGTATTTTATAGTTTGAGTTAGATTTCTAACTAAATTAACATATTCTAATATAAACATATTTAATCATATTTTTTAGGAAAAAGGTTTAACGGGAGCTCCTGGTATTAGTCCAAAAGGTATTAGAGGACCACCTGGTCCAAGAGGTATGTGTTTTTTTCAATATATCTAACCATAATTGGTAAAATCTTATTGTAAATACTTGAAAATTGTAATTTTTTTGGAAGTTAACTATTTGAAAAAATATTTCGAAAAATATTTGCTTTTGACATTAAACTGTTCAACAAATAATATGTAACACATATTTTACAGTTTAATATTAATACTATTGATAAACAAATTCTAAGAAACTCGTTAGCTCAGACAAGTGGCTGGCCCGTTGGGGGTTTTGAAAAATTCTTATATAAACTTATCTATTCATGATAAATATATATATATATATATAGTGCAGCCTTTTCTTAATTAGTCTTGTTTCAAAGCTTTAATTATACTAATTATAATTTTGTGTCTTTACTATTATCATATAAATCCGTTTTTTTTTTGTTTGTGACTCCTATTTTGTATAAATCCATTGGGTTCTTATAAAGATAAAAACAGTTTTTTTTTTTTTTTGTTACTCCTATTTTATATAAATATGGAAAGTTAACTTCAATTAGTTTTTGCTGAGTCCATAATTCTTGGTTGATAGTTAACTCATTCCCACACACCTCTATAGCTGCCTCCAAATACATTTTATTCCCTATTCTTATGATATTTTTGCAAACTTACTATTCCTTGCATTAACATAAATTATCTTGAGAAGTTAATAATACATAGTCAACTTGACTTTTAATTTAATTTAATAAGTTAAGAAAAATCATTAACTTCCCCAGCCTTATTTTTTTGGTTCTTCTAACTAAGTGGTACTGTCGAGTTTTGCAGCAAGTTTCTCAATTAGAGCATATTGTATCTTCATTAGAGTTGTATTAAAATTTATTTTTTTAGGAATATCTGAACCTGGTAGGCCAGGTGTACCCGGTCCACCTGGTCTTGAAGGTAAACCTGGTTTACCCGGTTTCAAGGGTGATCACGGTGAATCCGGAATTGCATCATTTGGGTAATAATTCAAGATAATAATTTTTAATAAATAAATTAAGTTTAATAAATTAAACTTAATTATATATATATATATATTGTTAAAATAATTTCAGAATAAAAGGAAATAGAGGTGATGTTGGTCTTCCTGGTTTTATTGGGCTTAATGGTGAACAAGGAGATACTGGAGAATATGGAAATGAAGGCGAAAAAGGTAAAAACTTTCATAACTTTTTAGTTATTTGTAATATAATAATAAAACATTAATAGGTTTACCTGGCGAAAAGGGACCCCAAGGAATGTCAGGACAGCCAGGAATTCCAGGTGTACAGGGTTCACCAGGATTAAAAGTATAATATCAATCATATTATTATTTTATATTAATTAATGTGACTGACTTTAAAACTTATGTATAAAATTAAATTATCAAAACTATTTTTATTTTTCCAATAACAAGTTTTATATTACAGGGATTAAAAGGAGACTTTGGAGATACACCCTGGTATAATGAAACAGATCTTATAGGAAAGCGTGGAGATCAAGGCGATGTTGGAATGCCAGGTATTTTAAATTTATAAGACAATTTAAAATATTATTAATGCTATGTTCAAAACTTATTGGAAAAACAAAATTGATTTATATTTTAATAAAATACATAAATACATATAAACTTCAGTACTTTAATGAAATTAACCAGTTGAAATTTTTTTTCATAATTATTATATTATGTGTTCTTCAGGATTACCTGGTCGCCCTGGAGAAGATGGCCTTAATGGAATTGAAGGCGTGGAAGGTGAAACAGGTGAAATAGGTTCTATTGGTTTTGAAGGACCTAGAGGCAAGTATTTAAAATTATATATTGAATACATTTTATAGGTATTACAAATACACAACATTCTATTTAATTTTTAATAACAAGGCATTAAAGCATTAAAAAGTTAAAAATAACTTAACATTAAATTCATTTAATGTACAGAATGTGTAAAGCTATTTTTTATCTAAATTACAAGTTTGTGTATGAAATACAAAAATATAAATTTGTGTATTTTCATCTAAAATAGACAAAGCTATTTGTATAAAATACAAATATTATTTTAATTTAGAATAACCAGATATATTTTCCATTAAAATATAAAATTTTTACCGAAAATTGTGTACTTTTTGGCTTTAATGTTCGATATTTCTTAGAAATTAAGATTTTGAATAGTTATTCTTCTTTCATCTTATAGAACACTGTATTAGCTTTAAATAAATGTAGAATTGATGAACACTTTTTAGAACATAAGTAAAATTTGAAGAAAAAAAAACATTTTGGTATGATTTTTATTCTCTAATAGTATCTTGGTTAATGTTTCAATCCAAGAAAAATATCTTTAGTATTATAAATAAAATATTTTCTCTAATTTGTTTTCAAAAATTTATTTTTATATTAAGTGAAAATTAAATATATCAACATTGACTGTTTTATAATAACTATATTTTTTCGCGATATTTCCTTTATTATGGAACTGAAGGAAATATGTGAAATTTACGGCATTGATAGTTTGAACTAGATACACTTTGTGATCTGTTGATATATCTATAAGCAAAATAGGTCCAGTAAAAGTAAAGTAATCGTGCTCAGTGTCATTAAAAAAAAAAGCATGGCAAAGTAAAACCAATAATTTCTTAGCTACGCATCGAAACTAAAATTAGTTCTCGAGTAACTTGTTGAAATTATTATTTCAGGATTGAAAGGTCGCAAAGGAATGGCTGGACTTCAAGGAGCACCTGGCCGAACTGGATCAATAGGGTATCCTGGTAAAGTACTAAAATATTTTTCTATCTAGAATCCTCAAATATCAGTGATAACTTTTTGTAGGACGACCCGGTTCACCCGGTGTCCCTGCTCCACCTACTAGGTCTCCACCGCATAGAGGAAACTTCTTTACTTACCATTCTCAGAGTGAACTAATTCCCGATTGTCCTAAAGACACTGTCAGACTTTGGTCAGGCTACTCACTATTACATTTTATGGGTAATGCTAAAGCGCATGGTCAAGATTTAGGTACGTAAACTTATGTATAAAAGTTTAATACCATATAGTTTTAATATATATCAGGTGATTCACTCGTACAAATGAATTAATTCATTTTTTGTTTATTATTGTGAATTTGTAGGTGCACCTGGAAGTTGTTTAAAACGATTTAATACAATGCCGTTTTTGTTCTGTAATCTGAATGAGGTATGTGATTACTCTAGTAGAAACGATTATAGTTACTGGCTCAGCACAACAGAACCAATGCCTATAATGATGACACCAATTATTGGACAAGATATTTCTAGATATATTTCAAGGTTTGTAGTTTAGTAATATAAAAGTTTTTTAAACTTTTACTGCAATGAAATTTTTAAAGGTGTTCTGTTTGTGAAGCTCCTACTAGAGTCATTGCTGTACACAGTCAGTCAGTTTCTATACCTGAATGTCCAACAGGCTGGAGTGAATTATGGATCGGATACAGTTTTATAATGGTAAGCTATATGAAATCTCGTCAAACTGACTGCTTTGTATGTAGGACGCCCTGGGAAAGATCCTCGAGCGGCTGCTAGTCACCCAGATTGTGGCCACTTGGCCAACGTCGGCGGACTGGTTGAGGGTCAGTTCGGTTTTAGAGGGAGGAGGTTCATGGACGACCACCCTTTTCTGGGACTTGGCCCCCAGAGCCATAAAAGGCTTCGGAGTGACTGTGAGCCTGGACGTCCGAAACGTGTTCTACTCCGTGTGATGGTTGCACATCCTCGGAGGAGGCTGTATCTCGTGCGAACTTGATGCTCAGCACAGTCACCACCTGGATCCAGCATGAGGGGAGTGGACTGAGCCTCGCCCTGGACAAGACCAAAGTGGCCCTGTTCACGGGTAGGTACAAGTTCATTCCTCCACGGGTCGCCGTGCTAGGGGTGGAGATCCCGCTTAAGTACTCCATGATATATCTGGGCATGGTCGTAGAAAAACGCAAAGTTCTTGAAAAAGAAGGAGGAGTCGGAACGTCTGAGACAGAGACAGCCACGCCTCCTGGTACAGGAGAACCTGAGACGCTGGTTTAGGCTGGTGCCTTAGGAATTGGTTTTAAATGTTTTTTGTGTATTGTGAGTTTTTTGCCAACCCTTACATTATGACGGGGTAGGCTACACCACGTTGTGAATCAGTTCTTGGTTGATTTCGGGCTGGTTCACGATGTGGTAGTGTGAACTATAAAGACGGCGTGGACTGCCCTGAAGTAATGTTTACACGTTATATATGGTTTTTTACATTTTCAGCATACTGACGCTGGTGCTGAAGGAGGTGGTCAGTCGCTTGTGAGCCCTGGATCGTGTTTAGAAGACTTTAGACCTAGACCATTTATCGAATGTCATGGTCTTGGAAGATGTAATTATTTCACAACAGCCTATTCATACTGGTTGTCTACGATCGAAGATCGTGATATGTTTAGAAAACCTAGACAACAAACTTTAAAAGAGAGCTCATTGAAAACACGAATTAGTAGATGTGCTGTGTGTTTAAGAAATCGTCCGTGATTAACTTGCGAAGTAAAATATTACTTATGTGTAGGTCATTATTATAATCATTAACGCTACTATTTCTTTATTAAAATTTAATGTATACCACAAAAAATATTGTGTTCTATTTAATTTAGATTATTGTCATTTAATGATATTTAAATTTTACTAAATATATATATATATATATATTTAATATCTGTAAGGTACAAGTCATTAGTATTTAAATATATAATAAAGTTTATATATATTTATAATGTACAACATAAAAATAATTTTTGTTCATTAAAATAAATGATATAATTTACATAAAATTCACATGAGGAAAATCTTTTTTAATAAAAAGATTGTAAAATAATTAAAAATGTTTATAATTTTACGTTAACAATGATAAAATCATTAAGTGTTTTTTTTTTATAAACTGTTAGGACTAGTATTTAATGTACTAAAATACTAACATTTCAAGTAGAAAAAACTGCAAATAATTTTATTCGATACATATACATTGTTTTACAGTGTGAATCAATATACAAGATAAAATTACCTGAATTATTTTGTAATTGCAGTACATATTCAAAAAAAATAAAACAATGATATAGATCCCAACTTATACAATTCTTGTAAATCTTAATCTTAAATCATTTTTGACAAAAGTTTAAATGTACATTTGAATATTAACACTGGTGTGTTTAGTATTAAAACTATCGAATATTATTTGTGATCTGTTTCTATAGATTGGTTATTTAAAAGTCAGTCACTTAATTTCTTTTAATTTTCTCAATTGATATATTAAGTTTAGTGCTTCACATGTTGATTTAAAATAAATAAAAACACTAATTTATATAACAGAAAAAATGTAGATGGTTTATTGTTTAAAACACTAAGAAAATTTATATAAAAATTATATTAATGCACTACGAGTACTTAACTACTTAACCGATTAATTGACGACTGGCCAACTAACTGATTGACGTTATTGTTACGTCACACCGTTTTATATTGTGTTGAGTTCTAGAAGATTCTCTTACGGAGCGATCGAGAACATTCGCGCTATATGCATTTTGTGTTGCCTATCCGTCGCGAAGATTCTCGATAATTCCATTGTCACTGCATTAAGTACTATTTTGGGTAATTTTTTAAATTGGATTCAATGTTAAGTTTCTTAAATGACAACATAAATATTTAACCGGTTTGGTATAGTAAAAAAATATAGTGATACAATAAGAGAAACTGACTATTATAAACTATTCATTGTCATAATTGGAACCTTTTTAATTATAAAATTAGTTAAATATTTATATTATACTCAAAAGAGATAATAAAGTTTAAAAAATCTCTAATTTTAATTTAATTAATGTTAAAGTTTTTTATTTACTAAAAATAGCTTTCTCTTCTAAATTTTTAGATAGGAAATAAATTGAATTTGTAATTTTACTCCTGAAATATTCATAGGCGGATTTTTTATACTGTACGTCTTCATATATACCATTTCAATTTGCTTAGATATTTTTAAAGTGGAAAGCATAAGAGAGTTAGGAGTAAGCTTTGAGGTTTTTTTTCTGGATGAAATAGATCTCACAGACAACTAATAAATTTTGATCCAATATTCATTTCGTTGTAATTTTCTTTTTTAACAATTTTTTCAATAGAAGCAAATACCCCTCTAATTTTCCATAAATAATACCACAACATTAAGGTGCTTTAAATTTAGGAAGCCATAGAAATGTAAAAAATTTAGGAAGCCATAGAAATACATAAAATCTAGAAAGCCATAGAAATGTATAAAATCTAGGAATCCATAGAAATGCATAAAATCTAGGAAGCCATAGAAATGCATAAAATCTAGGAAGCCATAGAAATTTATAAAATCTAGGAATCCATAGAAATGCATAAAATCTAGGAAGCCATAGAAATTCATAAAATTGAAGAAGCCATAGAAATGCATAAAATTTAGGAAGCCATAGAAATGCATAAAATCTAGGAAGCCATAGAAATTTATAAAATTTAAGAATGCATTAAATTGTATGCACTTTATAATTTTATAAAGTATATAATTGTATAAGTTATACACTTTATTTAACTTCATTTATTAAATTCATTTGTTGTGCCAAAGAGGACTGGAAAACTTACATAACTTACTATTACGGAATCGAACCAGGATATTTTCAAACCGAGACACGACGCTTTACCAGTTGAGTACCATTAAATGAATAGACTAGATATAAGTGATAATAATTGAAGTTGTTATGACTTTAATCTTGAGATTTTAAAAAAGACATTTTTCATATATCAAATTCACATATCAATAATTTTCGACTTAGGCGTTCAAACTTAAATCACGAATCACTAAAGCACACCATTTGAACACATGTAATAGCTAATACATTCGTTTAATAAAGATAATATATTATATCACCAATATAGTTGTTCCTACGGATCCTGTATAAAAATCAACTTTTAATCCGTACATTTTTATGAAAAAATCATTATTTGACAAAAATTAAAGGGTAGTGTACCTTATATGATCATTTATAGTGAGATTTATTACTGTTTATGATCATTATATAATATAATAACATTATGACACAAGCTAAATAATTATTTTCAACATCTCTATATACATTGCGCAATGTATGTAATGTATATTTAAAATTTCGTTTTATATGTATCTTGGATTAAGAAAAGTTTACTATAAAATATTTTATTAGAAAGAGAGATCCAATCTTATACTTAATACAACTATAATTAATAAAATAAGTAGGACATAAAAAAAAAAGTAGAATTAATTTAAACTCAATATACGGTCAATAACGAATTAATTGAACTTATTTTTTAATTAATTAATAACACTTGCAATTAAGTCAAAAAGTAAATTCTAAAAGACTGTAGACCAACTATTTTGTATAGGTTAGTGTGTTGGGCGTTGACAAGAAAGTAGAGTAGAGTCTAGGAAAGATAAGGATGCTTAGACAAATGAGTGGAGTGACGAGTGATAGAATAGGAGTAGCGTCGATCGTGGATATGACGTATGAAAATAGGCTTAAATCGTTTGGTCATATTATGAGAAAAGAAAAATCGGAAGCTCTAAAAATGGTTATAGAAATGAATGTCGAAGGGAAAAAGGTGGTTGAATGCAGTTAAAGGGTGATATGTTAAATTCTGTATAGATGATGTGGGAGACCGTGTCATTTGGAGGTTTAAAACACGAGTGGCCGACCCCAAGTAGTTGGCCAGTCACCAGTATAAATAACTTGATTACACATTGATTAAAAAAAAAATGATAAATAAATATAAATATCGTATTCAAAGAACAAAAATAATTCTTTAAAAAAAGATTTTTACTTTAACTAGTTAAGTAAAATTTTTAACAAAAATAATTTATAATACCTTCTTTAAAAATTAATTTTCAACACGAACAATTGATTCTATTTTTAAAGATAATATCTTATAATTATATCTAAGAACTGCATCTTAAATAAACTTACAAAAAATCATAAACATTACAGTTAGGATATGTTTTTTTCTTGTCGAAATGTAAAACTACATGTAAGGCGCTTTAATTTTGTAAGCTCTCTTCCATATTTCACACAAACAAACGGTAGAATGGAACCTATAAAATATTGCTAATGGCATAGAAACGTGAGTGATAATAGTCCAAGCCCATGGACCATAAAAACGCAATTGGATTGGATGAGAATCAGCCCGAGACTTTTCCAGAGTGTTGATGGCCCACATGGCCAAATTACTGACCAACAAGAACGTTACTATTTCTCGGCCGGGTTTTTTACGAATCTGATGAGGTGTAACGCATGATCGCCTAGAAGCATCTAAAATAAACACAGTCTGACAAAATGTTTGCACTAGCGATGCTGACGCAGTAATTAGCGCCAGATTGGTATTGTTCTCTTTTGTGAAGTGACTGCTTATTATGGTAAAAGTACTGTAGATAAAAGAACCCGTTTGTGCACCGACCAACAAAATATTGTCTAATTCCAAGTTGCGAAGTCCGTCAAATTTAAGCTGTCGCACCTAATAATAATTTAAATTTTTTAAGCAAATCAAGACTTGATAATTTGATTATTAAAAAACGAAATATTTTACTTGAATCATTCCGACCATCGTAGCTAAAGTTGTCATACCGTACAAGGAAAGCTCGCAAATGTTAACCTCCATAACAGCAAAGGTAATAAGCTCAGGTCTTGAAATGAGCACGAAAAATAGAATTAGTGATATTATGGTAAGGACAAGAAATAAAATACCGACGAATAGACCTTTGTGGGCTTGTGCACAGTCCACCGAATAGTAATGTGGTGATTTCCGGTATTGTGTTATTAGATTTTCACATTGTTCTTCTTTTCGCTGTCGATATTTTTCAGCATGCACTCGGCTAATGTTCTTCCACATAACGTATAGTATAGCCGCACATATCAAACTGTACTCGATGGTACACGGAAATAAAAACGGACTAGCGTTTTGTACCAACGATCCTATAATATTTGTCCGACGGCATTCATATATATGATGAGGTCCTTTGGCTAAACTGCGTTTTATCTTGGTGGCTAATGTAGAAGTAATAGGCATTTGCGTTGTAGACGACGCCAACTTTTTGAATACTACAAACATTTTTTTTTTAATTAAAAAGTAAAATTGAAATTATCTTTTGAAAAAGTTGGGTGTTCCATTAAGCCCTCGAATTCAATTAATAATATTAAATGCAAATTTTTCATCAGCAAAACTTTCTGATGAAGGAAAAAATAAAATGATTAGCAAAACAAACATTCGAAAAACATGAGCCAATCTCTAGTTGATAAGTGATTCCGAAATTTTTTTTATATATCTCTTGAAATTAATGAACTTACCAGAAAATTGATTAGGGTGTTTGTCTATACCAATCGAGTTGTCTTCGGGATTGTAAAAAGTTAATATTTCATGTTTAGTTTCTTGAACGAGCACATTTAGCCACACTGATAAGTTAGTACCAATCATATGCATTAAACCAAATTTAGCTAACGTACGATGTCGCGTTACTCTCATTTGTTGCTGTATAAAAATTTGTATGAAATTTTAATAAAACAATACATTAAAACATTTAGTTTTGTTTAAAGTAACAAATTAAAAGAAAAACTCTAAATTATCATAACAGTGGCATATTGAGCATAATATATTATGTATTTATATTATGTTAATTTTAATATTTCTTTATTATTTAATATTTATTATAATTAAACCTATTTAAATCCAAACGTTAAGGGCAAAAATGGTTAAGAAATTAAATTATCTTTTAGCCGTTAAAAAATTAAGGAGACGCTATTGCTACATGCCCTCCTACTGGTAACGTTAGTGACTACATAAATATAAAAAAAAAGATATGTAAAATTTGTGAATATTAACCGTACATGGTATACCTTGTCGTTCTGCACTTATTTGTTATCTAAAACTCATTTTCTCTACTGTTTAGTTTTGGAATTTTACCAGTAGTAGAAAAACACACTTAAATACTAATATTATTTTTTTAATGTAGTCAATAAGCAAATTAATCATTTAGTTACCTCATCATTTAAAAATATAAAATACATTTGAATGAAAATGAAAGCCATTCGAGTTGCCGGAGTTAATACCAATAAAACATTGTGGCACTTAGTTGCTGGCTCTAATTCAAAATATTGCCCGAATTCTAGTCCTGAGTATATCATACTGCCAATACCAAACGCTTTAAATGAATATATCACATAATTACAATTTATATTAATATAAATATAAACTAATAAACACAGTAAAGATTTTCATATCTGGACGTAGGATAAAAAACATTTTTGAGAATTTAAAATATCATTTTCTTGTCTTAAAATTTTTTTTTTTTTTATGAAATAGTGTGGTTTTACTAGTGAATGAGCAGTTAAGAGTTGAACATCTTTTAATATTCTTTATTCATTTATATATTGTATTCCCCTCATATAGATAATAATTGTTTGTTTTTTGGAAAATATTCTATATTTATTATATTATAATTACATTTATATTTCATGTATTGACCTTTGTCCATTTATAGAATAAATAAATGGAAATATTTATAGTTTACTAACACAAAAATGTTAATTAATTATTTCACGTTGAACATTTTAAATTTCCAATGAATGAATAGTTAATAATATTGTATCAAAAATTTCAATACTACAGTAAATCTGCATTTAGATAATTCCTTTGTTATAAAAACTATTAACTACAACTTGTTACAATCAGTTTTTAAAATTTTTAGTTAAAAACTTAGTGGTATTCATACATTATTAAAGTTACCCTTCTACATAGGTTTATTTTTTTAAAATTATAGAAACTAAGACTTTCAAGTCTCTTACCATTCCATACAACAATGTTGTAAGATTAATACATTTTTAAGAAATTTAATCAACTTTTTTTTGAAGATTAAAATAAAAACTATATGAATTAATAATTTTAATTTCTCCCCTCCTTAAAAATGTTTTCATATAAATTTACATGTCATTTTCATAATTTTTAGAGGGACTGCAGCAGACTTAGGAGATCTAAGCACTCTCTTGACAACCCAAATTGCTCCTATGTCTTTTAAATTAGTTTAATTTTAAAAATTTAGGTAATATTAATTTGAATTAAAAGGAATACACTTTTTTTTAAGAATTTAAAGTAACTTTCTAGCTAATAACAATAAAAAAATTTAAATAAATGATAAATAACTAGTTAGTAACTCTCCAACACTTAGTAAAATTATCAAAAGTTAGATTAATTTATTACAATTGCAAGTTATATAGCTAAAATGCAATTTAAAAATGCATATTTACCCACCGACTGCTCCCATTCTTAAGTAAAAACTACCGTAATGTTGAAATGTAGAAGGTAATATCAAATGATTAGAATTTCTTCGACCCCTGTGATGATGGACATGGCTCCAGTGATTTAAATCTATACTAGTCGCTTTTGTATGATTAGTAACACTTTTTTCGTTTTCCTGAAAACATATGGATACACTTTCACTTTCTAAACCACCTGAAGATGATGTTTCACTATCTGAGTCAGCTAAAAAAAAAATCATTTTCTTTTATCATGAGTGAATAAAATTACTTATTAAAGTTATTATTAATAACTCAGTATAAGTCAACAATGGAGCCAGTATTTTTGTGTGAGGCAACTAATAAAAAAGTTTAGGGAAAAGAAGAAAAAGCTGTGTATGGTATTTATAGATTTGAAGAAAGCGTATGATAGAGTACCGAAAGAGGTTTTAAAGTGGGTATTAATAAGAAAAAGAGTCCCAAAAAGGTGCATTAATGTAATAGAAGATATGTATGATGGCACTTATACCAGAGTAAAAAGGGTAGGAGTAGGAGGAATAACAGAAGGTTTTCGGGTAGGAGTGCACCAAGGTTCTGCTTTAAGCCCATACTTATTCTCTATAGTGATGGATGAAATTACTAGAGAAATACATGTTGTTTTTTGACGATATAGTGTTATTAGGAAAAAATAGGGAAGAAATTAATCAAAGGCTAGAGGTGTGGAGATCAGCTCTTGAAGAAAAAGGTTTAAGAATAAATAGAAGTAAGACAGAGTATACAGAGTACGAGTTTGACAAAAGAGAACACGAGGTAGGTGAAATGAGGAGGTTAGTGATAATAGGCGAGGATATGATTGGAGAGGTGGAGGGAGTTTTAAGTATTTAGGGTCAGTTAGGCAAAAGAGCAGTGGTATTTACGAGGATGTAAGACACAGAATTAAGTGCGGGTCGATAAAGTGTAGAGAAGCGTCTGCCGTCTTATGCGATAAAAGAATTCCAATGAGGCTGATAGGTAAATATTACAAGATTGTAGTGAGGTCAGCTATGATGTATCGTTCAAAGTGTTGGGTGGTTGATAAGAAAGTAGAGCAGAGAATGAGTGCAGCAAAGATGAGAATGCTTAGATGGATGAGTGGAGTGACTAGAGAAGATAGGATATGGAACGAACGTATAAGAGGGAGTATAGGTGTAGCGTCAATCGTGGATAAGATGAGAGAAAATAGACTTAGATGGTTTGGTCATGTTATGAGAAGAGAAGAATCGGAAACTGTAAGAATAGTTTTAAAAATGAATGTTGAATGAAAAAGAGGTAGAGGAGGACCAAAAAAGAGATGGAGGGATGCTATTTAATGTGATATATGGACAGCTGATGTGAGCGTAGATGATGTGGGAGATCGTGTCAAGTGGAAGTTTAGGATAAGGTGGCCAACCCCAAGTAGTTGAGATTAAGGCGAGGAAAAAGATTAATAACTCAGTAATTTATGAAAATAGCAAAATAAAAATATAACAAAATCATATAGTATGAAAAATATCTCACCATAATTATCATCATTAGAAGGTTTCATTGTCGGTTTACCTTCTAGAAGCATCCCATACATATAAAATAAGAAAGACATACTCCCAAAGTAGAGATACAAGTAATATCCCTTAAATAAAAAAATAAATAAAATAAAAAATAAATTAAGCAATAAATTAATTAACTTAATTATATATACAGAGAATTCCACCACGTTTCGATATCTTTAATAACTTTTATCTAGTGAATATCCTGCGTTATTGTTATGTTTTATATATTTTTTTCAATTTAAGCTAAGTTAAAAGCATTTTTTTACTATAGTCCTCTATATAAAAATCATTTTTAAATTTTAAAATAGTCATTTTTTAATTATTTTCTTATAAAAAATTTAATGGGTTGATAGGATAAGTATTAAATTAGTTATAAGTATTTAGATACATTTTATATAGGGTGAGTATTTTATTCTACATATCCACTCGATTTGCAAATATAGAATGTTTAGTAAGTAAGGAAACGGATTTCTATTGTTGTCACTGTTTGTAACAATCGACCTGTGTCCTTACTTTTTGAACATCTTGTATGTAATACGGGTTGGTATAGCTTGTACTGATGAATGTGCACCTCACCCACGCTACATACCATTTCTATGTATTACAATGCTTGTAACTAAATAAGCACTTATCCTAAAATTATTATCAATCCATATATATTAAAAATAAAGTGTAAAGCAAAATAATCACTGGATCAAAAGTTATTAAAGATGTCGAAACCTGGTAGGACACCTGTATATACGAATTAGTGTATTTAAATTTGAAGTTTTGATTTACTTCATAGAATGAATGAGGAATATGGGTTGATATAACTTCAGACATTGGAAATGCAATGCCCATGACAACTAAAAGTTTACCATATAGTGCTGATAAGGTTGTAGCCAAGGCTTGTCTAAAAATAAATGAACAAATTTATGGCAGAAACTGAATGAATTGTACAATAATTTATTTTATTTTATCAAATGCATACAAAGGTGTTTATTAAATCATATTAGTAACATTGAGTATAATATTATAAGTTTCTATTTTTTATTTTTTAACTTCATCGCACAAAGTATGTACTATGAACCAATACTATAAAGGGAAACAAAATTAAATTTTCGTATGTAATTTATAGATAACAAGCAAAAAATAGAAATTAATATAATTATATTAGTGAATAAAATATTATTTTATTCGCTTAACCTCTCGATTGTATACAGCTGGATTTAATTGATATTAATTAAAAAAAATTGAATAAAATTTTTAAAAAAATTCCAAGACTATTATTTTGATATTATAGAACTGATTATATTAAGACTTCCAAAACTCTATACAATTTTGAAAGTATACTTACGATCCCATTTTCCTCCAATGATTATGCAAATCTTCTATTGTTGACCCTCTTTTCATCGCACGTGGCATATTTTTTAATGTGGATTTATTTAATATTGGCGTCAATACAATTTCTTCTTTAATAGACAAGGATTCATTTAATGTGTTTGGTATTGTATCCATTGTTTTATTTGTCAAAGGTGCGTTTTCATTATTACAGTTTTGATCGTACACGTCGTTTGTCCAACTAAAATTTATCCGTTGAGGACATTACAACAAAACACAAAAAAATAACTTCTACGTAAATATTAAGCTATGTTTTTGTAATGATGGTAAAATATTATAAAATGACGATGAATTTTTTTTTATAACATTTTTAGTTAATATAATAATAAAACATTTGTTAGAAATATAACGTGTTCAGTTGTCATTAACAGTTGAGATAAACCTAAGGTCTATGGTAAAATTGTTTATTGAAAACTTTAAAGTTGCTCGTCTAGTAGTTTAAGGTAGTTTAACGTTTATTAAAATGTGTTATACTCAAGTTCTACACACTAATGTATTTGTACGTTTTGACTTAATCAATTTAATAACTAGCCAACAGGATGTAAATTTAGTGACTGCTAAAGAATATCATTTATTCACTTGTGCATTACTAATAAACAAGCATTTATTTCAACATTAATAATATAATAAGTTATTAATTGTAAATATTACATGATGTTTTTTTACAATAGTTATCATTAAACATGTAGAATGAAAAGTATGTTTAAATTTCTACCTTACGTTTGTTTTATTTTTTTCATACTCCAAGAAATTTAACCTAACGCCATTTGTGGAGAACTAAGGGTAATTTTTCATTAGTAAAAAGATCATATCTGTAGTTTTTTTTTCTTCTAAATATTAAAAAATTACAAGAATGGGATTTCGGGATCTTTGATAATATTTATAGAAAAAGGTTTTTACTATTTTCTGTCAGAAATTCACAAGTCAATTTTATCTAGAAGTATGTCCTTCGCACTTCAAAAATGTTAATTTGCATTAAAAGACCTCTACAGATCACATTTTGTTCTTTTAAAATTGATATAGACGCTCAAAGCTTTATACGGTGATTTATTCAACAATAGCTCTTATAATATAATTTTATATTAATAATTTATTTAAACAAGAAATAAATAGAAATTTTTTTAAAATTCGAACAGTCCATTATATTTGAACTTTCATTAATTTATTTAAGTTCCCCTAGTGTTTCAATCAACAGAATAATTTGTTTTATATTAATTATATTTAAATTACTTCGCATAGAATTAAATTTATTATATACATACATTTTTTTTGAGGGACAATTAAAAGTAATGCTGCCTCTTTCAATCTACACCAATTGATAAATTATTTTAAAACTCCTTATTTACAATGCTTTAATTCAATTTACAAAAATTTGTGTTTTACCTTAAATACTCGTGTGAAAAACTAATGGTTTAATTCTGTCATGTTTTATTTTTTATCAACAATTAAAATTAATCAATTTTTACTGGATCAGATTTTGGAAAGTGGTACATCAAAAGAACACAAATAGTATCTAGTTGGAGTTTTCGGAGTCATGATTTTTAAAAATATCTTTTAATTCCTGTAATAAAGGAAAATGTGCCCAAAAAAAGATTAAAAATGTGATGTTAATACTTTTAGTTTTATATTTTTTTTTTTGTAAAATTCTATAATTTATTTTATTTATACAGAAATAAACTTTTTAAGGCTAGACTGATCATTACGAAATTTTTTAATTACAATACTTCAGACATTCACCTTGTTAGTAATATACTTTTTTTTTTTAATTCAATTATTATTAAAAGTACTAGATGACTAAAAAGTCGTTTCATTTTTTTTTGATAGTGGCCCAAAAAAAAATTGACTTCTTTAAACCTACATTAAATAATTGTTAATATAATGTACTTTATAATAAAAAAAGAAAAGTACCTAAAAGTTTTATAATCAGAAGTTATTGTCCATTAAATCTAGTATTAAAATCAACATCATTCAAAACTAAATCAAATTATAGCTTATTTAATGTACTATACGATTATAATAAAAAAACCGTTTCAGCATTTTGTCTCGTTTAAGAAATTGATTTCTATAATCTAAAATCGATTTATGACAGTAATTTTAATTAATTAAATAGCATCAAGCTGTACTAGGCTGGTGAAAAAAGATTTTTTTAACCTTGTTTACTGTCCATGTTATTAGTATTTCAATCTTTAATATTCATTTTATCAATGACAGTGTAATTTAAATCAAGCTAGATTAAAAACTTAGGTAAATTTACCAAAAAATGAAAAATAATCTTCCCATGATTAATGTTACAAAATAAGTTTTAATCTTTTTGTTGTTAGACTTCACTTACAATAAATATAAAAAATACATAGTATTATTTTTACCTCACGGCTTCTCCGTCGACCCCCATAGTGGTGACCAACGTGTACGCCGGCACGTAACCCACAGGATTTTCAACTGTAATTAAAAGAATTTTTATTAAAGAAAAATAAAAAAATTGCACTCTTACTATTATAACCACGCACTCAATAGTATAAACACTAAATGAGAGGCTCTCGCGTGTCTATTATGTTTTGTAGACAGGATAGAACAATGCATGCTTATAATCTTTTGTTTAAACAAAAGGGGGATTCTGGTTAGGTCCCTGCGACAACGGTGTTTCGTTTAAAAATTCTCGTCGGTAAATTGATGAATAAACAATCCAACTAATAATTCAACAATGTCATGCGTCAATTAAAAAAATTATGTCTGTTGGATCATGATTTTATTTTTGCACATAATTCTTGGACACGTATCATATTAAAACGCTTATGTAGTTTTAATTAGTTGAAATAAATTATTTTATTATTCACGTAATACGTGTATCATAATTTACGATTATTGAATTTATTGACTTCAAGATAATTTATCAAAAATTTTTTTTTAGCTATAATCGTTTAAAAAAATTAGTAACATCTTCTACATTAGTTTTAATTAAATTTTTTAAATATGATTTTCATTTTGAACCTCATTTTCCTATTTAGGTTTTTATATAATTTTTAAAAAAATTGTAACACTGAAAATTTTTTATAAATGATTTTTACTTTTTTCAGTAGAGATCAATGTGATTGATTGTATCATCAATATGAGAATTTCAATTCAAATCCAACATTTATTACACACTATTGGTATTGCTGGTTTATAATATATACAAAGAGATATTCTAGGATTAATATTTTTGTTTTGGTAATTTCTTTTAAAATTATTGTCATATGTATGACAGAATATTTCTATAAGTTATTTTTATTTTAATTTAAATTAATATTTAATGTTACAATTATTTAATAGTCATATTAAATAAGACTATTACAAATTTTGTTTAAGTTGAACTAATAATGTTAAAAAAAAAGTTTTTTAAAGTAAATGAGAATAAAAAAAATTATTTTTCTTATATAAATTAGCTATGTTTAATCGTTTAATTTTATAAAAATAAAAAGTAATAAATCATAAATAAAATATCAAATAATAAAAGTTTACTAAGTATTTATTATTATTTTTTGAAAATATTTTAAACATAAAGATTAGTTGAAATTTCAGTAAGGATAAAGTTGATTACACATTATTTTAACTTACTATTTAGATTCATCACCATAATAAATATAAACATTTATGTGGAAAATATAGTTTAATATAGATAATAAATAAATGTATAAAAAAAAATATATTTATATATAATTATTTAATTACAGTGAAACATACTATTATGATTATTAAATATTAGAAAGAAACAATATTAAGATCAATATCCAGTTTTCTTCTCTAAATAAAAAAGCAAAAAACTCCCTTTGATCCTTATTACAATAGTAGCATGTACTGTACTCTAAAACAAAAAATAATTATTTTAATAAGTAACAAAAATGTGACAATAATAATATTTGTAATAATATTAAATGTTATGATAATAATAAACGTATACATACATCAGTTTACTAGATAATTCATTTGAAAAATAAACATAGTGAAATATATAATTACTTAGAGTATTTAAATTTAAAAAAGAACTTTTAGTTTATAAGATTATTTTTTTAATTTGAGGATTTTGTAAATTTAACTAAAGATTTTATTTAAATTTCATAATTAAAATATTTAATTAATAGTTTTTGATGGATTAAGCTTGCTAATCCATTCAAAACTATAAGATCAACAAAAGATTACATCCATTAATTGTTAATAACATTTGAAATACTGGTCCAAAATTTGTTATCAACTAGTCATTTTCTTAATTAGATAATTTTCCATTATAGAAATTAATTAATTAAAAAAATATAGTTGACACTCTTTTAAGTTACAAGGTACGATTCTAAAAAATAATTATTAGCTGATAAATCAAGTTTTATATGTAATTAAAAGTAATCAAAAATAATTTTTTCAATATTTTATTTATTTTGTGAGAAATTGAATGGTTTATGATAAACCGATCATTCTGTATATATCAGCAATTTTACATAAAAAAATTCAATTGTATGCAGAATAATTAAGCTAAACTCCTTGATTTTTTATATAGATTTTTAAAACATGAATATTCCAATTACATCAAAATTTGATGACTATAACAATAACATATGTCGACAAAAGATTTATTTTAACTAACTCATTATTTTTATAAATCTGAAGAAAATTTAAAAAATACAGATCAATAAAAATTTTGATTTCCTGAAATAAATTAAAAAAATATTTACTTACACATTATTTTAGCNATTTCCTGAAATAAATTAAAAAAATATTTACTTACACATTATTTTAGCATCATTTCTAAAAATAACCAATAGTGATAACAACTGTAGGAAGCTAAGATTTATCGAAACATTAGCATTCAAAAGATGACATATTATAAAAACTGATAGTTTTCGTCTATTTCTTTTTAATGAAAAAACAATTTTTATATTTGTAATATACTTTAGTCATTACTATTAATATTCATCCTTATGGAAACAATAAATTCCCTCAGAGGCACTTCAAAAATTGACTATTGGAACAACAATTAACTATTTCAGCGACAAAAGAAAACTACATACAGTTAGGCTCCGTAAACAGCCATCATCATCAGTCACCTAGAAAACAAAATCAGATTAACAACATAACTACTGTTAATCGACAAAGGACACTATACTTACCGATGCGATCAATACTTTTTAGGCATTTGTTTTTGTTTCTCTCATCTTGCATCTCTCACCGAACAAATCTTCATGCCTAAATATGCGGGGAGCGTAAAAACAATGAAAAAGTAATAGAAAAATATTCAGAGAGTTCACTAACATTCTATAAAAACAGGGAAACGAATTGATACACGACAAACGTGATAACAGCCGAAAAATGGACCAACGATTGATAGAAGAGCAAGTGGCATCACGAAAAAAGAGAACGCACGATTTGTGTTCCATGAAATTTTGAAAAACGAGAATTGCAAAAAATCATTATGACCAAAAAAATTTGCAAAAAGGAAAAGTAAGTCCCATTGATTGGTATCGGTGTATCGATATAGAGACAAAAAAAAAAGTCAAATTTATTTCCAAAAGAAACAAAACATTTCTTCCAGATGCGGCTTATTCATAGACATTATCAACGGACTCGCATTGATATATGCTATGGTAATAATATGAGAATTGATAATATGTCAAAGATTAATAGTGCGAGATTTTAACGAATATAATGTGTTTAGTGTAATAGTTATTTTAAAGAATAATTATGGCGCAAATTTTATTCCGTGGATCAAGACTATGTAGACCATTTTCTTTCAGTGTTTCATGTTACAAATGCCAATCGAGAGAATATTTGAGGATACCACAGTTTTCATCACTAAAATTCTACAGTTTACAAACTGGAAGTAAAAGTGCTGATAATACATTAGATTCTGTAAAACAATCTGAACAAACAGATTTATTTGGTTCAAATAATGATGAACGTCAAAAAGAAAAAGAAAAGGCTATAAAAAATTTAAAAATTGGATTTTTTTTTATTGGTGCTTCAGTTTTTATGTTACTTAGTGGAGGTCTCTTTGTTCTTATTTCCGAAGATGATTCAGATAAATCTAAAGAGAATGATAACAGTATTTATCCTGTACGGCTTTGTAAAAGAGGATATTCAGCAGTAAGAAATTTCTTTGAGTCAATGCGGGCTCCATCTTATGATACATTGTTACCTGATCCTTTACCATACCCTTATTACCAACCAAAATATACCTTGCTTCTGGAATTAAATGATTTGTTAATTCATCCAGAATGGACTTACTCAACAGGGTGGAGATTCAAAAAAAGACCCAATGTTGACCATTTTCTTGAAAGAGTTAGTCAACACTATGAAATTGTTGTATTTACTGCATCAAATGGCTTCAATGTTTATCCAATTGTTGAAAACTTAGATAAAAATCAGTTGATTATGTATAAACTTGTAAAAAATGCAACAGATTATATAGATGGGCATCATGTAAAAAATTTAGAACGCTTAAACCGAGATCTGTCTAAAGTCATTATGGTTGATTGTGATGAGCGATCAGTAAAAATACAAAGGGACAATGCATTAGTTTTACCAAAATGGGAAGGTGATGACAGTGATCAACAACTTGTTCAATTAGCTGAATTTTTGAATGTAGTGGCCACAAATGAAGTAGAAGATGTAAGAGAAGTACTAGCATATTATAAACAATTTAACAATCCATTAGAAATATTTGCAGAAAATCAGAGAAAACTTTTAGAATTACAAGAGGAACAAAGACAGATAACAGAAAATTTACCTATTAATAAAACTAGAGATAGTTTGAAAGGAAAATTCTTATATGGAAAATAAAAATACTGTTTAGTTTTACTATAAAATTTTAATTTTTGTTAAAAATACAATACATTTTTTTGATTTGTGATTTTTTTTTTTAATTACTCAATAATTCTTTATGAAAACATTGCTTAGAATTAAGGTATTTTTGTTGAAGACTACTGGGTGAATGAATGTGAATCAAATAAATTATTGAATTGTAAAATTCAGTCATTGGAAACGCTATTTTAAACATTGTTGCTTGATGTATAAAACTTTCCATGTGCAATAATCTAATATCTATTACTAGATATTTTTTTTCTAAATCTAGGTATATCAACAACATTAATTTTCATAGGAGCTTTTAAATGTTAAAAACATATTGTTTATACCATATAGCGTGTCACTATATTAATTTGTGTATTTTATTCCATTGGATATTATTACACATACAACTTTAGAATAATTAGTCAGTTCAACATGCACTATCATGATAATTAGAACATCCCTATTAAATTTTAGTTAATTATTATTGTAATATATTGTTTAAAATTAATATTCTTAAAAAAATAGTGTGTTATAAGGTTTTAATTTAAATAATAAAGATATGAATTTCAAGTTTTATATCTATAAATTATCGAATTAAAATATTTTTAATATACATGACTGCAGAATTTACTCTCTTGTACGAAATATATAGGACTGAGAAAACTGATAACATTACAAAAGTTGCTTGAGATATTATAAAAATTGAAAGTATTTCTAATATTTGTTCAAAATGTTGAGGATTTTGTAGCTCAATGCCTTATACAGTTCATAGATTTTATAAGTTCTTATATTGAATTAAATTTTATAAACTCAATTAACTACTATGTTGAAGTTTTTACTTAATTTTTTAACTACTATTGCAAGTACAACTGATTCAAAAAAAAAACACCAGCACAGTGGGGACGTGGCATAGTTAGGTCCAGTATAGATTTAAACTGACAGTGCAAATCTGTAGATAGTGTTTAATTCTAAGAAATTGGTGGATAATTACAAAAGCTACNCACCAGCACAGTGGGGACGTGGCATAGTTAGGTCCAGTATAGATTTAAACTGACAGTGCAAATCTGTAGATAGTGTTTAATTCTAAGAAATTGGTGGATAATTACAAAAGCTACATGATCTGCTATTTCCTTATTAA